TATCTTTTTTCCTCCAATGTTTGTTTTGTTCCATATATTGCTGTGTTGGAAACTTCAGTCATATCCTTTGATCCTGTTTTATAAGGAATCTGTTTACAATGTCAAAGCTTTGTTTTATGTTTAGAGTTCACAAAGCTGAAGGCGACCGTGTCTTCAATGTGCCTTGCTTCTGACTCCAACAGCAGAACCATTATTGATGTCGCTGGCAATTGTAATATGGTATGCCTGCTAATTATGCAGAACATTCCGACCATATACTTTGTAATCAAGGTATTCGGTTTATTCACACGCGCAGCAGGCGAGTTGTCATCGCTGCACCAACTTGCAGGTAGCAAACTTTTTCTGCGTGCTGTTCCATGTACAACCTCCAATCAACGTTTTTGTACCTGACATTAACTATAATAACTTAAGACACGATATGCGTTAGGAAATAGCTAACTAGCTTAGTCGACTGAACAACGGTTTGGTGTGATTTACGAGCAGATGCTGTTTGCTTGGTAGTCGCATTCCTACTTCCTTCAGAGGTTGACGTGTATTAACAATGATACCTCGTTACCCCCACTGTCTCCGAGGGTGTCGATCGATGACAATCGGGTTTTAAATGCATCATAAGTACTGATGACTGATATGGTTGAGTACAAGTTCTTTACACCCGCTGAGCGCAAATCCACGTATAACTGTTGTTTGTTACAAATCATGTTCAAGTCATGCACAATGAAACAGGTGGTCCGCTGTAAGATACAGTGGGAAGACTTGCTTTGTACACTGTTTTGACCAATATTCCAATAATATCACGACAGGAAATGGTCGTCGTCATCTTGGAATTGAACAAGGCTTTTGATAAGGTACCCACGAGCCAGACTCTACTATGCAAATATAAGGTACCATCATTTAAATTTATATATATAAAGTATAATAAATACATAAACAACCTGTATGCTAGAAGCAACGTATACACATTAAAGTTAAAGTTCCGGTTTTGACAGCAAAGCAGGGATTGAGATTAAGTATTGTTTAAGCTGAAATGCAATTACGGCAATAATGGAGAGTGAGTTGTGCACAATAATTGTCATTACGGTTGGGCGACGGCACGATGCAGTAATTAACGAAGGTATTCATGATCAGTTTTGTAACATGTTTAAACCGAATGTATTGCATTAGATCACCGCATTACTCTGAAGGCACCACACGTTTCCTCTCATCTCACTTTGGCAAACCAGTTCTTCTATAGGCCTGATAATACAAGGGCACTTCGCTTAGCTAGAGGCAACTGGAATGCTCTCAATGTCATTCAAATTTCCCTCGAGATGCAACTGACATTTTGATAATGTGAAATATGTTCATTAGTTTAGATTAAATATATTCGTTTCTTTGCATAACCACGATCTCAGAATGTCCTGAATAAAGATGTCCGATGGCCTTATTTACCACTGGACCAACACCCCCAGACCACTACACTGATGTGAGCATGTAATTCAATCAGCACCTTTGACTGGTAGAAATGCGACCGCGACTCGTAATGATTTGCCTGGAGATTTGAGTCGCGACGGTCACTACATTGTGAGAATTTATCCGCTCCATGCTTTTAAGGTAGCGTTCATCTCCATACCGTTAACACGTACAGAAAGTGATTGAGATTTATATAGCCGCGAATTTCGAGTTGGTGAGAAAATAATTACAACAAAGCTCGCGGAAATTGACTTTGTGTAGGTCAAGTTGGCTGGTCATTGTAAATCCGCCTTGGTGTGACACGAGTGTTATGTACTGGCTTACACCAACCGCTGACCAGACGCTAGATCTGGAGGAATTGCTTCTCTGTGCACTACACAAAGGCATTGGGGCACTGATCCCCTTGTGCTGGGGGAAGTCTGCTGGAATACGGCTCTGACAGAAACATCAATGCCTCGCTTCTCCGTTCAGCTATAGGGTCGTACCTACCAGAGATGGGATTTTATACAACAAGTTTTACAGCTTCCTGTCAATGAAGTACCACTGATTTTGTGTACAGTCAACACAAACCTCTGAAGCCAATTTAATCATGTTTTTCAACCTCTGAAACTGTAGCACACACTCCTAGTCGTTGAAAAAATAGATTTGACGTACAGTGTTTGGCTGTTCTGTGTTGTTGTAATATCCACTGCCGTAAATATTTGTAATAATGAATCCCCATATGTAAATGCGGACGTAACGAGTGCGGATTTACCCCGTTTCTTAACAATGTCCCGGCAGCTAACTAACACGCTCCAGTGATGGGATCACATACTGAACACATGGACGGAATCGAACCCGTCGACAAGTGACAGATTGAACCCCTGCACTACCGCCCTAACATCGACCTATGCTTCTTACGGCTGAACATCTGCAGACAGATACTGATACACAAGTATCACTTGACATACATAGAAAAGTCGTGTAAATCAAACATAAGTAAATACAAATACGTAATGACATGTGTCGCTGTAAAAGCAGTATATCTGTTTACGTATGTAACGCCACTCAGAACGATACATACTATATTACCAAAGGTACATTACACCCTAGTACGTCGAAATACCTAAAATACGCGGATAGCACCAATGATTTATATATTGCATATTCAGCTGGAGCAGCACTTACTGATGTTGTCTAAAAAGTATCAGTTGTCAAGTCTCCATCATAGGCTTTAAGAAAATATATAATAATTAGACTGGTTTTATCGTATATACACTCCAGCGATTGGAGTATGTGTTCATCCTGGCTGCTCTGTAGATGTCATATGGAATCATGTCTCCTCCATCTGGTCCCAACTAGGTCCTATATTGATTAAGTAAGTGCCATTCTATTCTGTCAATACTGTTAAACAGACTTCATTATAAGTATTAAGTGCGACAAGCGTTCAGAAATCGTTGAGGTTGGTGGAAATACATTTACACAAAATTAGCAGCTAGTTCATACTGCAATATGGTGAAATAGAATCTCACGGGAAAGTGTCAATATTAGCATAGTGAAAAAAATTAGGAAGCAATCTAGTGTCTGTTGTTTTCTGTTCATTCTCATAACGTAAAAAAATTAAATACAAAATTCAAACCTTCACGCGGACAAATAACGCCGAAATGATTGCAGTTTTTATCAAACGTTTTCGTCCTTAGAGGGGAGCAGGTGCTAGATAGCAAAATATAGTTATTCACGTCGCAAACTCAACGAGCATACAGGATCGTCTTTAAGGTTTTGTCTCTTCCTTCGACTATGTTCTTAACGCCTTCTCTTCTATAGCCGATTCAGCTGGCACAGCGCTTACTGAGGTTATCTAAAACCGTTTTAGTTGTAAAAACTTCATCACAGATTTAACGAAAATTAATTATCTCCCCATAGCTCTCAACGGGAGATTAAAAGTAAACTGATTGTAAGTAAATGATCAAAACATGATTCTAATCACTGCCATAGTAATTGTCAATGCTGAGCAATCATTTGAAATATGTCCTATGTTTGAGATACAAGGTGTTTCAATGATATGGTGGTGAGAAAACCATAAACAAAGACCATATCTTATCTTGATTCTGCTTCCTGATACATTCTTCTGAGGCAAAGGCACACGAAGACATTGTCACAGCTGGTGGAAGACCGATATACAACTGAAGAGTCATTAATGTCAGGCAACCAACACAATTGAGATACTTGGTAAAACTAGACATTCTTATCGCTGTCTCCATATTCACAAGCTTGTCATCGTTTACTAACCCCCGCTGTTTATTATACGACTGTGTGGTTCTGTGTGGGCATGCGTGCCCTGTGCTGTTGGTGTAGACGCTGCATGGACCACCGCGTACTAGAAGCCGAGGGTGGTGCGTTTGTTTACTAGGGAGTAAACGAATTCGCATGCAAAGCTTTCTGGCAGACGGTCCTTGGCTGGATCCCTGCTGAGGTACAGTTGGATGCAATGCTATTTGGTTTTTTATCACTTGCCTATCGGCATTACGTCTCTCCGTGGCTCGCAACAAGTGAATTCCTTGCTTCGTTCCATAGCGTATATGTGGCAAGATCCCGACCACACGAGTACAGACGTAGGAAGTTGAAGTTTGCCACGTGCAAGATGGCGGCGTTCCGTTACACCGCAAACCTTCATTCAGGAAGAAGTTCATGTTTGGGGTGACATTGAAGACGTAACTTTAATAAAGGCTACGTGAGATGCAGACGTTTAAAAATAAACAGCATATCTCTTCGATACTCTTAACCTTCAATGTATCCTGTTCACCATATGGTCTATATCTATACATGGAGTAGGGTTTACTCACAACAGCTACAGTAATAGACGCGAACTGGTGTAAAGCAGACAGAGATAACACTAGGTTCTACAACGTAGATCAAAGTGGCTATTGTCGTAGGACTGGGGTACTTAATTTAGCATGCCATTAATTTTCTTAATTCAGGACAAAAAGGTTTGCATTTCAGGAAAGTGTCTACGATGCCAGTACATTGAAACTGGTCACGATACGAAGCTGATTAAACCCGCTTCCCTGAACATACATCACGAGAGTATCTCTCTTCCAGGTCCCTCTTCACACACACATTAAGGACATGGTAGTGTCTGCATATAAGACTCACGCTGAACGAGTTCACTGCTTCTAAGACAACAAGGAATATTGTAAACACGTTTATGATCCTATGGTATAATTATGTTCCTAATGAAGGATCACCGTTCAGTTTCAGCAAACCGGACACAACAAATCACAGCGACCTATAATAGCATTGATGCGTTTCGTCAGTACAAATATTCATCTGTGTTATTGGTCACTTTGTGCGTGGAACAACATAAGAGCTGTGCGCATGCTCTTCCTTGAACCAGTCAAAGAACATTTGCACCGGGGAATGCTTTAACCAAATGTCCCACTGCTAGTTTGGTGTACATCATGCAACAACAGTTTCTACCACAATCACCGCCACTAACCTAGACACGTAATAGTCCCCGACCTGGATATACAGCAGCCATTACAATAGAAGTAAAGAATGGGAAGAACCCTTACCTGGTTTAAAGGTAGGCCTGAAGGGTGCATCTGAAATGAGACAAATACACTTTATCATTTGTACATTCTGCTTCATAAACATACAGATGTATACAGTGACACTAGTGCAGTACATTCAGCATCGGTACGTCGTGAGTCATTTGTAAAATATTTATGACGTTGATGAACAACATATTAAATACAAATACAACACACAAAGCTATATCTGTACATTAGATTCATTATCATATAAATGACTGTGTGTGCAGTATGGAAATCATTAATACATACTTGGGATATGTACATGAACAGTATGTCCCACATTAACAAGCGTGTAACACACAGCTGCCTAATTCCTCTGCTTAGAAATATGATCGCTCTCTTTATCTACACCTGTTCAACGTTACATTCGTACCATTAATTCAAATTAAAGTCTGGACGCGTGCACATAAAAAGACACTGGCGGAGAACCAGACGGGGTAATATCAAATTGCCTTATGTTTTAGTAGTCCCGGGTACTGAGGAGGAATCTTAGCGATTTTGGCAAATTGTTGCACATTTTTTACATAGTCAACCTTTTTTTTCAGTTTTCAAGTAGGTATTTGAACACCCATTAACAAGTAGATTATTGTACGCATACGCTCAAAGTACGTGTTTCATGTTTATTTCCTGAATTCAAGATTGCGTACAGTTTCTGTCATGCGTTTCATGGGAACGCGTGTCCACTCGCGTATGATGTACTGTCACGGTAAGGTCAAGCTAGCAGGTACTCTATTCTCTGCATATGCTGATATTTGTTGTTTCACTCTGTACGTGAGAAATCCGGGTACTTGCAGGTACAACCATTAACAACACAGTTTCAGGATCGATCTGAAAATCGTTCAGTAACATGTTAGATAAACATCGCCTTCCATCGATACCGCGGCAGTACAACCTTTATACGAACAATAGATTTAGTTTATAGGCGTATGTGCCTTTGCTGAACACAATACTATCTTGATAAGGCTACGCCCGCCTCGAGCGTGTGTGTGTGATGGGGAAAATGTACAGTAAATGTAGATGTGTTCGCTGCGTGAGGGTCTAATTGGCAATAAGACAATTATTGGCTTAATTACAGCAGGGAATGGTGTCAGTAGTGTTGCCGTGTGTCATATTTATAAACTTTCAAGCCTACACAGTGTGATCTTAACTTACACATCGTTAAAGGGCCGAGGGGTAGCCTAATGGCTACGTGTGCGATCGACACGTCCAAGATCCGAGTTCGATTTCGTGTGTACAATGTGTAAAGCTTGTATATAAAGCTATAATTTGTCACATTCATTGTGATATAGTTAGATCTGTGCTATAGTTTGACTGAGATTTCTGGAAGGTACTGCAAGGGACTACAGCCGCTTGGCCCTTTTCAGGGTAGCATAACCCAGAATATTATTTAAAGTTCAAGTACATTGACACTATACATTTGCCTCAGTCATCTCACCTTACAAGAAGACCAGTAGTTATATGACGATCACTTTTCACTCTTGATACTCAGCCTTGAATATTTTGGAATCATGACCAGTGTTGCCGCGAGAAGAATACCACCATCACTGTCTTTATTGCTACAATCAATGCTATTATGCCATAATGCCTTTGTATTTGTACTGCCTCTCTACTTGGAACTGCCATTGTAACAACTTTGGGGTGATTTGTATTTGTTTGAAAACTTACTTAATTTGAGAATAAAATTACATTGCATTTATTTGTTGTGTGATGGTTAAACGCCGAGTTATTTTTACGGCCTAACTTCAAGTTTATAGTTTTAATTTGGAAATGAATACGTAACAACACACACAGAGACCCAGGCACATACACATACCAGCACACACATCCACACAAACAAACACACACACACACACACAGACCCAGGCACATACACATACCAGCACCCATCTACACAAACATAAACTTACACACACACATATACACACACACACACACAGAGACCCAGGCACATACACATACCAGCACCCATCTACACAAACATAAACTTACACACACATACACAGACACACACAGAGAGACCCAGGCACATACACAAACCAGCACCCATCTACATAAACATAAAATTACACACACATACACACACACAGAGAGACCCAGGCACATACACAAACCAGCACCCATCTACACAAACATAAACTTATACACACATACACACACACACACACACACACAGACCCAGACACATACACATACCAGCACCCATCTACACAAACATAAACTTACACACACATACACAGACACACACAGAGAGACCCAGGCACATACACATACCAGCACCCATCTACATAAACATAAAATTACACACACATACACACACACAGAGAGACCCAGACACATACACATACCAGCACCCATCTACACAAACATAAACTTACACACACATACACAGACACACAGAGAGACCCAGGCACATACACATACCAGCACCCATCTACATAAACATAAAATTACACACACACATACACACACACACACACACAGAGACCCAGACACATACACAAACCAGCACCCATCTACACAAACATAAACTTACACACACACACACACACACACACACACACACACACACACACACACACATACACATACCAGCACCCATCTACACAAACATAAACTTACACACACATACACAGACACACACAGAGAGACCCAGGCACATACACATACCAGCACCCATCTACATAAACATAAAATTACACACACATACACACACACACACAGAGAGAGACCAAGACACATACACAAACCAGCACCCATCTACACAAACATAAACTTACACACACACACACACACACACAGACCCAGACACATACACATACCAGCACCCATCTACACATACCAGCACCCATCTACACAAACATAAACTTACACACACATACACACACACACACACACAGACCCAGACACATACACATACCAGCACCCATCTACACAAACATAAACTTACACACACACACACACACACACACACACACACACAGACCCAGGCACATACACATACCAGCACCCATCTACACAAACATAAATATACACACACACACACACACATAGACCCAGGCACATACACATACCAGCACCCATCTACACAAACATAAACTAACACACACACAGAGAGAGACCCAGACACAAACACATACCAGCACCCATCTACACAAACACACACACACACACACACACACACACACACACACACACACAGACCCAGGCACATACACATACCAGCACCCATCTACACAAACATAAACTTACACACACACACACACACACACACACACACACACACACAGGACCCAGGCATATACACATACCAGCACCCATCTACACAAACATAAACTTACACACACATACACAGACACACACAGAGAGACCCAGGCACATACACAAACCAGCACCCATCTACATAAACATAAAATTACACACACACACACACACACAGAGACCCAGGCACATACACAAACCAGCACCCATCTACACAAACATAAACTTACACACACATACACACACACACACACACACACAGACCCAGACACATACACATACCAGCACCCATCTACACAAACATAAACTTACACACACATACACAGACACACACAGAGAGACCCAGGCACATACACATACCAGCACCCATCTACACAAACATAAACTTACACACACATACACACACACACACACAGAGAGACCCAGACACATACACATACCAGCACCCATCTACACAAACATAAACTTACACACACATACACAGACACACACAGAGAGACCCAGGCACATACACATACCAGCACCCATCTACATAAACATAAAATTACACACACATACACACACACACACACACACAGAGACCCAGACACATACACATACCAGCACCCATCTACACAAACATAAACTTACACACACACACACACACACACACACACACACACACACACACACACACACATACACATACCAGCACCCATCTACACAAACATAAACTTACACACACACACACACACACACACAGAGACCCAGGCACATACACATACCAGCACCCATCTACACAAACATAAACTTACACACACACACAGAGAGACCCAAACACATACACATACCAGCACCCATCTACACAAACACACACACACACACACACACACACACACACACACACACACACACACACACACACAGACAGAGTCTATTCCTATAACAATTGTATTCCTGGCAGCGACTCCACCGCCTCTTCTGATCAGCTCACATGAAATCTTCCTGAATTACCACAAGACAAAGTCGTGGACAAATGTCAGACATTTCCTCTAATCCAATGTTCCACTTTTTCTAAACCTATTCGCCATTGATGACACGATCGCCACATACATCCTACTGCGAACTTCACAAGTTCATATTTCCTTTGAACGATTCGACTTTCATACCAGCTAACAAGTGTCTTCCGCATTTGAGGTTCCACGTGTTCATTTAGTTGATCGGTTGTAGATTGTTGCCTCGAGGTTACAACCATTGACTTTAGAAATATGATCACACCACGTCTATGAGAACTCATATATACCGTCACGAGCCATGGGGAAAAACAATGATCTGTTTTCAAACATGGATTCGAGGATGATGTTCAAGTGTTTAGTTTTAGTAAAAGCTGATGACGTTTTATGTAATCAGGTATACTCGCCTTACAGATTGGTCTGTGAAAGCATCATGAACATGAGATCCAGTTCCTACTTGATATAGAGTTGTGTGGTATGCGTCATAACACGTGTTTGAAAACTTCGGTTTAAAAAGTTTATATAAAATGTATAGCAACTGTCATGTGGTATCTCTCATTACAAAAATTCATTTGAACCAAATTGGAAATTGCATAAAAGATATTTAGCTTCGACAGTTATATCACAGGGGATTGAAATGTTCCTCAGTAAGACAGGTTCTGAAACCATCTTAACCTCAATCTATTCGACCGACTAACAGAAATATCAACACATGGAAGAAGTGTTAAGCAGCGTGTGGAGCTTTTGTGTATGTTATGACTCCGCATCTTAGGCTGCTCCTTTGTCAGTATGATAGGGCGTTTTGCCTTAATTCACGGGAGGCATTTAGTAAATGTACAACTTAAGTATATTTTAGTTTGAGTATTATTAACTATTCAGAGATACAGATTTGTATGCTTTCAGGTAAGTAACACAAAATGTATATCTTAAATCGTACCCAAAGGCGAAACGGGAAACAAAGCGTTTATATTTATCTTTTCTAGTAAAGCTTACCCTCGACCCTCAGTAAAACATTATGGCGAATGCTCCTCGTCTTTGAGCTGATTTGACACTCATAGACCCCAGCATCCTCAAGGGAAACATTCCGGATATGGAGGTTCCACTCTAGAGAGAGTTTCTCATGATAGACATAAAGACGTTTATCCCGGAAGTACGTTGTGGTTCCAATAGTCAGAGGGTTGGGATCGGAAGAACGACGCCAAACTACCTGCAATTAAAAAAGAGACACATTTCTAAATAGCGGAAACGGGTTCAGTTGTAATGAGCTTACTTATCAGCACGTTATATCTGTAATTATTGCTTAGATAGCGAGTTCGTTTGGACCGGAAGTACGCACATTCTGCTATGGTTCCCAAGGATGCCATCTGTGTTGACATGGAGCGAGGGTGAACGAATGCATTTGAATGACGTAAAGTTAAATAGTTAAAAACGAACCATGTAGATTATGTTGCATGCTAGAGACGAATCTTGCACAACCTTTCTTTTTGTACTCACATGCTACCCATTTCGAAATGTAAACACGGATATTGGTGGTATTTGGAACTCGCATGAGCCACTTTCAAACGATTCCTGTGAGACACAAGTATGCATGTCATTCTAAAACATACATAAGTTGTGTACCTAGTTAGACCGTGGAGAAACAGATCTGTGGCAGATGTGTACCTCTGGCTCACTGTATAGCACGACGCTGCAGCTTCAAGTTACCAGTAATCTGATACAGGAATGGATATACTCACTGGTACAGCTGTACTCTAATACAAGATACAAATCACTCTCTTAGTTTTACGAGGAAGGACATGTGGCATATCAATAGCCTGTCACGTGTAAACTGTAAGCATATTTTACAGGTTCTCAGTTGTACCTATTTTGCATTTTGGCAATTGCTTACCAATCTTGAACCTGAACGTCTAAATGTACCGCGTTTAATATCCATTCTTATGAATAAAGTATGATCTATTTGTATGTAATCTGGGGTTATTGCAAAAAAAGAGAAAATGAAATTCACGCCTATATGTGTCCGTTAGATGACACAGAAATCCCTGGCGATGACTTACATTACTTTTTAAAATTATATATCTATTATTATATTAGCTCCTGTGATTATCGTTATCCGAATGCAAACCGAGCGACTGGGGTGGTTCCAGTTTCGGTGCTCATTTGACAAGAATTTGACGACAATTCATCATTCTTGAAAATCGCTGTGAATTGTATGTATCCCGCTCCAGTGTGTGACACGGCGGTATTGGCCACTACAAGGCTTGGTTAAACAGTGCACAATACAACACAAGGCTCGTCACAAATGGCTTCAATAAATGATCCATTATTTATTCATATTCCGCTAAATATTTGATCAAAGTAAGCCTGACCACGGCTTTGGTAATTCTTTGAAGCATATTGTGGTTTTGTCAGATGTAATTAATGTTTTGATTGATGTAGTACACTTCGCTCCCATGAGCTCACAACACAGGATTAAGTTGTCAATAAACTTCTGAAGTTCTCTATGTGAGACAGTGTATGTCTACAGAACCTACACTGGTAATATTTAGGATGGACATTAGGACATCTGTTGTCATAGGATGAACCATAAGTTGTAATTATGGCTTCACATCAACCAGGAACCAGACAGAACAAAGGACTATGCTGTGACCGTACTGGGCTGTATTAGTATGTCAGTGTGTGTTCACCCAACTGTAGTGTGTCTGTCTCCTTCTCCACACTGACAAATACCACATGCAGATAATACACATTCACTTTGTCAGAGGTTGTGAGATGTCATGACTATACAACGCCAGTACTGTGCACATTAAAGTAAGGATATTGCAGTGGTTCTGGTGCGGTAGGCGACGTCTCTGTGATTTAAAATTATCAATTACACAATACGTTGTGAAATTCGAATCCTAATTTCGAACCGACTTTGGTCCGTTTTGCATTGTTTGTGTCGTTAAATATAACCGTTGACTCTGACGGCGATCCGTAGATAGCCGGGTCTTGACCAGCACTTCCACACGTGCCTTATACATTTACAGTCTGCAGAATTGTGAAAACATTTGCTTGATTGTCTGAGGTTTAATACCGCTTTTAGCATGTATGTGAGAAAAGTCCCAAGTAATGTAGGCCTGAAATGTTCACCATTTTGGTAAAGTGACTCCGGACAGAGTAAAATTGTTCCAATGTGATAAGTGGCATACAATGAACATTATTTAAAATATTAAAGCCTTCGTATTTCAGGGTTTACCCATATCGGACATCAACTAAGTAATTACGTAAACTTCACTCGCTTTCCGAATAACAAATATTCATAATTAATTTACCAGTCAAACTTCTGAGGAACGGTTGAAATGCCTGCATCAACAACACGCCTTTCAACGGAAGAAACATGACGTAATTCTGTGACAATGGTAACTAGCGGCCAGCTGGCGACATGCAGGTACGGATGTCTGATATGCTCTTCAGAAAGGTACAATACATCGTTATGAGTACATACATAGCTGGTTCCTACAGAATAATAACACGCTGTCCTGACATATCCCCACCCTTGAGGCTGCAATCCCAACACGGAGGACTTCAGTAGTTTCTGTGACACGACACGTGGGATGATTAAGACACACGCCAGATACATTCTACATGAATACCAAAGAAAATCGGCTTCTATTTAAATTAGAGACGGGAACTTTCGTTTTTGTCTCAGCCATGAATTGTTAGCCTTAATTATTCTTTGAAGTATACTCAGGTTATAAATTGCTGTCATGGTTTAGAGGAGAGATACTCATTAGAGTTTGAGGGGCGTTAAAAGGAGATAGAATTGTTCCTGATAATGAATAGGAAGAGGCGAAAACTACACCTTGTTTTTTATATACGAGTTAAATTAAATACGCCGCCACAAACGCTGCACTCCTGTAAAATACAGTTCTTGTCACTCGTATTGAAACATATACGAAACATATGGAGTCTGGGATACTACAACGTGACAGTTATGTTTACATAAATCCGCCATTCCTGTATCACGTGTAACAATGTTTATAGTTAGACACAAGTCTCGATTAGTGGATTGCAAAAATGGAATTATAGTTCGTACTTTGGTTTGGATGGGGAGTAAGAACCATACTAACTTTTAAGCGTCTTCCTTTACAGTATGGAAATACCGACCCCGCCAGGCAGAGGCCTATCCACCACGACAACGGGTATTCCATTGGAATATGTACCTTGACCATTAATTAATGGATAATTACGAGGGAAACACCATGAACATTACGTTCAAATTGATATTGGTAATGTGCGTGCGTGTGTGTGTGGGGAGGTTGGGGGTGGGGGTGGGGGTGGGGGCGGGGTGGGTGGCCCTAGTTAAAATTATCGCTCGTCAAGACTCAAAAGACCATATTCACCCATTCAGTCAAATTTATCATTTGCACACTCCCTGACAGGAGAACGTGAACACATCTGTTCTCTTGCAACAATTACTTCTGCAGAAAACAGTTAGCAAAGTTTCTAAATACCCATGCCTTTGTTTAACCACAGCTGGAGAATACTGAAGTAAAGAACCACCATTTACAAAGACACCTGAAAAGACAATTGGCTCTCTTATTTCCATTCCCTGTCGCCAGACTGTTTGAGTATTCAACACTGGCGGCATTCTGCTAAGGGATGCTGAGCAGGTATACCATTACATTCCCACATTTATGTTATTATCCAGTATATTGTATAATTCCTAACGCTGACATCCATCGAGCTCCATCCTCGCGTACCCTGCCCCCGGCGACCACGGTAACATGACCGATCAAGTGCAAAGCAAAGGTGGCAGCTACAATTTTCTTTTCTTCTAGCAAATGAAACCTTTGGCGACTACAACTGCCCATTTACATAATTGGACTGAGCAGTGAAAGTTCTTTTCCCAATGTGTCAGCGGGTAGTGTTTTGTTATCGATTACCCACAGGTGGGTGTTCGATGCATATAATGTTTCCCTCGCTGCTCTTTATTTGAAGCAGCCAGTAAAACTCTGATGAAGCCATAACCTTCTCGAGCTGCTTATGTTTTTGCTTGGTTTGGGAATGTTTGTTGTTTTTTCGGAATGGTTTATGTTTTAGCGCTCTTGTTTTATTGATGCGTTTTCTTCAAAAAAAATCCTTGGATTTGTCTCAGATTTGGGTTTGCTTCTAGGAACACCTGGTGTCCTGGCAGTGATTCATTCATTCACCAAACTTATTTCCACAAAATGCCTATTCAAAAATAATGAATCTGCATCGAGGGTTATCGTTTGGGCTATATTTCTGTCTCTAAGTACCAATCCTTTTGAATTAAATTCATGAAAATATGTAAACATTAGGATGGCGATTGGCAGGTTAAATGGTTCAACAGCAAGATTCATTGTCAGAGTATTATAAGTTATTGTAGGACTACCATGATGAGGCATGGTTGGTTGTTGTTGTTTAACGTCCTACTCAGCAATATTCCAGCTATATAATCGAGTCTGGACCAGACAATTCAGTGATCAACAGCATGAGCATTGTTTTGCGTAATTTGGATACGATGACATGTGCCAATCAAGTCAGCGAGCCTGACCACCCGATCCCGTTATTCGCCTCTTACGACAAGCATGGGTTACTGAAGACCTATTCTAACCCGGACCTTCACGGATACGGTGAGGCATGGTCAAATACGTTGGTCAATATAAAATGTCTTTCTGCAGTCTAATGTATTGCAAGCCTTAATAATTGTAATCTTACACTCAGTGTTGCGTAACTTTCCCACATTTGTAGAAAGTTGAAACTGCAGACCATACATCATAGCCAATATGTTTTAGTTCCTGGAATCCAGGGGAACATTGTGCGCTGGAGCAGCCGAGAAGACTGGAGATAGTTTTTTAAGAACCTAGCGACTTGAAGGCTCTTTAATAATGTCTATGTAAAGTCTATGATTTCTGTGGAAGTATGAGGGTCGTCAACGACTTCGTGCCCTGCGTAATACGTTGGCCACATTGTAGAATCATGCATCATTCATAAGCACGTTTCGATGACAGTGAATTGATACCACGAGTATTGTTTTACTAGTTTGTGTATTAAAATTAGTATTGAATGAAAATGTTACATGTATATGAATCAGTTGATGAAAATATATCAAACACACATATTTGTAAGGCAGTTACATAATGACCTTCAAACCATTGAGACCGAGTGATCCTGCAAGTCAAACACATCCCTTGCACGTTACAACTATTGTCATCCGAGTAATATTTTATACAACATTCATTCGAGATACAGGACATCAACAACCATGTCCATTTCCTGTAACTCGATTAATCATCATCTGTCGATCGAAACCAACCAAAACCACAATCCTTCATACAATAAAGGTTAGACGCAGTGCTACGTAAATCGGCAAACGCGTTATTATGACACTGGTTTGTCTGCTCTATTACGGAAAGCTGTATGCCCTAATATATCGGAACTCTGATGTAGGCTCTACTTCCTCCTGGACTTAGAAGTTTATATTTCAGTAGATACTAATGACGACAACGATGTTTTCAAATAGAATACAACTCTGAACATGACTTCAGTCACGCTCACTTTCAATGCCAACAACCTGGCATGTTCTACTGCGCTTCGCCGTTAGGAGATCCAAGGCCTATTTCGATAATCCCCAGTCTGACACTGAAAAGTGAATAATTCTCAGTGGTATGACGGCGAAGTTACAACTTAAAGCGGAAGTATACACCTATTTTCTGTTATTGTGTGATTACGCCGTAACTTGAGACACAGCTTCAAACAGCTTTCACGACACATTCAATCAAAAACACGTTCTTCACACTCAGTTTTGTTTGTTGCGCCTCTCTGTAGTAAGAGTTGGTCCACACTTGACAAATCATACAAATGAAGTAATAGCTGACACATTTACCTTTTTACACATATTCACCCAAGTGTCAACTTCAACCTACAACCGTAAAATGTTCATACTGTTCCCGTTATTTTGTTTTATTTACCAGCTTTAACTCGACTGTGTCTGTGTGCGTCCTTCATGAACTTCTCGAACAAACACCACTTTGCAGTAATGAGCACTGCATACATTGCATACATTGCAATTGCAATAGCAAAGCCCTCATCTGAACTACACAACAGCTTGTTTTTGTCGTTACGTCATTTAGAAAGACCGGTTATCTGACGGACGGTGAGAGTAAGTATGCGTATAGTCTAGTTGCAGGAACGATTCCTCACAGTGTTTATTCCAGGCTTAAAATAACTGTATCGGTCGTATGTGCAGCACCCTAGAGAGTTCAGCGAGGGAGCATACCGAGGCTAGCGTCAGTTCGGGTTGCCTTACTTAAAGTCAAAGATGAAAGTTGTGCTACTTTTTTACGTAAAAACCCTATTATAGGAATTCTCAAGCGAGTAGATTATTTAATTCTTAGAAAGATATTCTCTTGCTGATCTTTAAGCATGTGATGAAATATGAAAGTTTTTCTTACCGGCGGCTCACGGTTTACAAATATGAGATATTTAAGCGGTTTAAGATTTGTTCAATTCTTATACCAGATCCCTGAAGATATATTGTATTAAATGTACAATAATTATAGAGTGGAATCTCTTGACACCTGGCATCGTTATTGTTGACAGCTTATCCTCTCCATGGGTCCAGTTCGATGCTTACATTAACGCTTCATTTGTATTTATCGGGGATGTTCAGGTGAAACAGGTGGAATTTTCACTATTGACCACCTTGTAATGTCTTAACGTTGTCAACACCTTCATATTTTGTTGGAAAATAGAATGGAGAGTTTTGTCGGAGTCTTCATCTGAAAACGTGCTTTAGAAAATCATCGCAATCGAATTCCGTATCTGTTTTGAGAGCCTGTCATGATACTTCATTCCATGAAATATACCACATTCACTTCGGTATGCTCTTTAATCTTATAAATGCAAACAAAAAAATAGGATCTCCTCGCAATTTCCCAAGAAAGCCTGACACTTTACAACATTTTTAGGCTTGAAATAACCGCTCTATCGAGCCAAAGAAAGGAAGTGGAAAATTAAAATCTCCTAACAAAGTGAGCTGTTTATGGTAAAAAGTTTAAAGTAATTTGGAGATGGTGTATGGGATTTTGTAACATTATAGAAATTGTAGTGTTTACAAAGAGCAAGGTGCAGCATTTATTTGAATTCTTTTTCCGAATAGATTTCATCATGGAAATGATTGGATAACTCACACCAGGGCTGCCGGACAGTTCCATGGAAACCCTCCAAATGGAGGTGCTTTATGAGACACAAATGGCATCGGTTTTAAGGAGCCCTAAACTGGTTGTCATACTAACCGTTCGTGTGCCGATGTTTTCAATGGCGCATTGCAGCTTGGCTTCTTCCCCTTTATTGAAAGTCACATTTGTGTCCGTCTTCAAGAACTTCGGCAATGGTGCTAACGTCGTCAGGTCATCGCCTACAACAAAATCAACATTTATGTTAGTCAACACAATACAACGACTAGTGACGACATGGGTCTACGAGCGAGTCCCATCGTAAGCCCCGGGCTAGAATACATCACCATCTATTGAATCCCACATATGGGACCCGGGCTAGAACATATCGCTAACTATTCAATCCCACATTGCAGACTGGACTAGACTACATCCCCAACTACTAAATCCCACATTGGGGACGGGACATCGGGGACCATTACCATTGAATCCCACCTTTGGGATCGGGTTAGAATACATCGCCAGCTATTGAATCTCACCGTGGGGACCAGACTAAGATACAACCCTAACTATTGAACCCAACCTTGGAGAACCCGACCAGAATACAGCGCCAACTATTGAATCTCACCCTGGGGACCAGACTAAGATACAACCCTAACTATTGAACCCAACCTTGGGGAACCCGACCAGAATACAGCGCCAGCTATTGAATCTCACCCTGGGGACCAGACTGCCAACCCTAAGATACACCCGACCAGACCCAACCTTAGGGAACCCGACCAGAATACAGCGCCAACTATTGAATCTCACCCTGGGGACCAGACGCCAACTATTGAATACAACCCTAAGTATTGAACCCAACCTTGGGAACCCGACCAGAATACAGCGCCAACTATTGAATCTCACCCTGGGGACAGACAGATACAACCCTAAGATATTGAACCAGCCTTGGGGAACCCTAACTATTGAACCCAACCTATTGGGGAACCCGACCAGAATACAGCGCCAACTATTGAATCTCACCCTGGGGACCAGACTAAGATACAACCCTAAGTATTGAACTGGGGACCTGACCAACCTTGGGGAACCCGACCAGAATACAGCGCCAACTATTGAATCTCACCCTGGGGACCAGACTAAGATACAACCCTAACTATTGAACCCAACCTTGGGGAACCCGACCAGAATACAGCGCCAACTATTGAATCTCACCCTGGGGACCAGACTAAGATACAACCCTAACTATTGAACCCAACCTTGGGAACCCGACCAGAATACAGCGCCAACTATTGAATCTCACCCTGGGGACCAGACTAAGATACAACCCTAAGTATTGAACCCAACCTTGGGGAACCCGACCAGAATACAGCGCCAACTATTGAATCTCACCCTGGGGACCAGACTAAGATACAACCCTAACTATTGAACCCAACCTTGGGGAACCCGACCAGAATACAGCGCCAAATACATCGCCAGCTATTGAATCTCACCCTGGGGACCAGACTAAGATACAACCCTAACTATTGAATCCAACCTTGGGGAACCCGACCAGAATACAGCGCCAGCTATTGAATCTCACCGTGGGGACCAGACTAAGATACAACCCTAACTATTGAACCCAACCTTGGGGAACCCGACCAGAATACAGCGCCAACTATCGAGTGACACGAACAATACTTCCACAGAGTTTAGGATTAGTGACAGTTGTGAATATAAATTATTGTGACACCACTTTTCCAACTGGGGCTTGATAATTATCTCTTTTATAAGCATGCAAACCTTCATTCATGTAACGTAAGTAGTTCCTCAGAACATTTGCCCCATTTCCTTAAGTATGCACCAAGCAAAATAGCAAGGAGCAGGGTCATGGCTATACAATTATTTATGACACCAAATTTCTATGTCATTTTAGATTGTGACCAGTTACACAAGTGTGTACAAATCTCCAGCGTACGTCAAACCAGGTTACAGCTACACGACGGTCAAGTGAAATAGAATGCAATTCAACCATGGTTATAGTCGCACGAAGACCTTGTAAAGTTGAGTAAAATTCAAATCTTGTGACAGTCACACGAAGGTCCTGTCAAGTAAAGTACGATTCAAACATGATGACAGTAACCCCAAGATTTTGATAAGTACAATTAAAACATGGTGAGAGTTACACGAAGACCTTGACAAGTAACGTCACATGCAGGTAATTGCCTCACAGAGAACATATGTAGTTTATTGATTGATTGTTGATTGTACAAATACCTACTTCCGGGCTCAACCTACACCGTGGGTGAAACTAAACCACACGTCATCAACTACAAGTGCCACAGTTTAAAAAAATATGCACATGAAACTTTAACTGTCCCGACTGACTGAGACATATGCTGACATAGTAACGTCTTATGTCTTACACATCTTTCTGTATTTGTTCCGCGATCATTTTAAACAAAATAATACAAAATACTACTTTCATTGTACTTTCCCAGTTGTGGCATCAGTATGAGCATATAACGTTATATATTGTGCCACCCCAATCTCCCTCTTGCTTCAGTCTCCAGTGATACAGCCAGGCTATGTAGATGTGTATGTAGATCCTTGTACAACCAGGTCGGTAGTGAGGCCATGTAGAACGGCGACATGGTGCCAGCTGGTAGCACCGAGTGGAGCTGTACATGTTATACCGATGTCTCGGTGGCTAATTCCGTGCGTCTCAGCGGCCACGTGTTGCGTGTGCAGCTGTCATTTGATGGGAATCGAGTGCATATTTATGTTATTGTTTGAAAGCAGTTTTTCTGTACGGTTATTGTAACATATCACATTTGAATGAACATTACAAGCTCTCATGTAGCAGGCTCTTTCACGGTTACAAAACTTCCATCAGTTAGTTGGGTTCAATATGGCCATTATTTCAATCTTGTGACGTAAGGGACATGACTCGACAGACCTAGGAAAATTGACATGGAGAAATTTGAAGCAAATTAAAGCCACAAGAACCATCCGCACAGTTCATTGCACGATCCCGATGGTATCACTAAATAATGAATCAATATGAAAAATACTCTTACAAAAAGTAGAGAGGCATGATTTATGACTGCGGTTACAACATATTAAAACACAGACAAGTGTTGAAGACAAACATCCCAAGCAAGAACGTCTATGCCTGTGAAAATTAACACCAAACGCAGCGTGCGCACAGCAGTGCCACACAGGAGTGTAGGGTGTGAGTCCTGATTTGGACAAGAAATACACAATGCCATATAAGATAGTGTTAGTTGTAACATATGTTACATTTGGGATTACACTTTCTCAGTAAAGCACAGATTCTAGTACTTTTTTTTCACGTTTCACGTTCACCTTTTCAAGTTCACGTGGGGTCGATTAATCTATGTGGACCATTACGTATTTCAATGTTATTGATCCTGCTTATCACATGGCTAAAACATGCTTTACGGTATCCATTGTTGTGTATGAAGCAGGGATGCAGCACTCCTTGGACGCGCTATGGGCTATAGGTATGCTGAAACCTGGCAGAAGTCAGCATGTATTGGCCAATGTGTTATAGTCTGTGATAAGCAAACTATTGACAAAGTACTAACAACACTTATTCTATATATCGAGGGCCGACCCCGTTCAGGACGTCCAAGGTCAAAGACAAGGGCACAGATAGATCCGAAACCAGGCGCCCCGAAGTCGACTTGAAACGGCGACGAGGAACAGATTGTACGCCGGTCATCACAATACTCAACGGCCGGGGGTTGTATCGCCCCTTACAAATCACCATGTAGACTACACGTCAATGAAGTACCCAGCCTCGAATCTGGGGTCATCGTCGTCAAGGGTCATGTTTTCAGATGATTCAATGTTCCCTTTGTACTGCATTCACTTGCGATGTCGGAATGAATGTCATGCAACATCTCGAGCCCAGCCCTCATGACAGATAAGTCGGTGGATGGGTTAAGGTGAGGGTCGGTATCACTAACTGAGAAATCTCATTCCACGTTGTCCGAGTAAGCGTCACAACGTACCCTTTGGTGTCTAATAACGCAAGGCGTGTTTGTCGACGGTTGGTCTTGGTGGACAACTACGTCCGTACACGAGACTACATGTGGTGTGATTGGTTTGAGGATACCAAACAATGACGATTCGTCTGCGACAGGAGGGGATTTGACAGGTATTTGTCAGGGAACTGTAACAGTTGAATCGACGACAACGTATGCTATGTAGTAATATCGTACAGGAATCTGCTGAGGAACTGGCGACGAGTCTGGTTCAGTGATGAATCACGATTTCTTCCCCAATGCCGAGATGGACAGCGTTTTGCACCGAACTGATTTCCACAGGTCGACAGATCGACGGATGGGTGTCATATTCAACCCACGGACATCTAATTTAGTGATTGTTCAAGGGGAATTCGACAGCAAATCGGTACCGTTGACCAAACTGTTCTAGATAACCTTCTTCCGACTATAAGCCGACAGAGGGAGTTGTTCCTACATGACATCATAGCTCGAGTCACCGTTGACGCCCTTCAGTCAATGTCTTACAATGGCATTCCAAACCTCCGGATCTGAACCCGATACCACATATGAGGGATGACCTCGACAGGCGTGTACGTCAACGTCAACTGACACATGCATGCACATTGGCTACCACGTTGCAGGAAGAATATAGTAGACTTCCTCAGGACAATCCGTAGCGTTAATCAGGCGTAGGAGGAGGTGATGACCAGGGATGACAACACAATGAAATCAGGTACTGACGGGGATTACCGTGGACATACTTGTCTGGGGACAGAACAATCAGACTAGAACTACTACCAGAGATTAATTCTTTCAATTTGTGAATTGTTTAAGCTCTTTTGGAAAACCCCTATTGTTTCAACATTATAGTCAAGGTAAAAGGTGTTTATCTCAACGGTTTCATCCATCAAAAACAATTGCGAAGGCAAATCAATCGTTCACCTAAAATGAGCATTCGTAACCGGCGTATCCTGTCATGACACTGAACGACAGGACCTCCTGTGTTACCTTGACGTTGTTCTCACACATAATCAAGGGCGTGGTGTCATGTTTATCATTTTCCAACTGTTTAATGGATAAGGTCATGAGAAGACAGAAGAGAGGGTAGATTATACGAACATCTATCTGAATTATCTCAGTCTGATAACTGCTCCAGCCACGCCTGTCAACCCTGAAATACAGTACACAGTAAACATGCCCTTTCTGGAGCAGGAACTACATTTTATTGCATTTTCAAATACTGGCTTCCTATCGGTGACGTCAATACATAAGTTTGGCTTACAGCGTGTGTCCGCGCCTTGTTACATGTGCATTGTTACCTGTCCATATCACACATGTACAAGGTATGTGTATGAATGTACTGTTCTTCAATCAGGGGTTCCAGGAATGTGGATACACATACAGGCAACACGATTACTTGTAACATTACTCCATGTATGTTGGCTGCGATGCGGCCAATACAGGCAGCACTCAATGGCTCCCCAGTAAAGTGGAATTATCTGAACCCTAAACAAGATGAACGTTGAACATAAACTTACACATGTCTTCAATGCGGCTGCTGTCATAGCCCGGCAGTTTAAGTACGATTGAGTATCTTCCAGATCTGCACATAATGTGCCAGTTTTATCGTTGATGCGTCCACAAAGTCCATAATTTGACGTTCACTTGTGATAGACTTTGACATTTACGTTACATAATGGACATCACGTCACCACTTTGCGTGTCTTAGGCTTCAGATTTCATCATCTGGATTATATTAACCGTCACGGCCATCCACGGGTATATGCAGTGGGCATGAAGTAATTTAATCTGTATGTAGTCTTGCAAGAACACTCAAATCAATACTTGGTAACGGCCATGCCTGAACATGTCTACAGTGTGCTGTACACAAGATTAGGGAAGATCATACAAAGATATATGTAATCTCTGTTTAGCGAGGCAGGCAGTACGTCCCCAGTAGCCTCAGCCGTACCAGTCTCGGGTCGTACATCAGAACCACTGACCGCGGTCTGGACACGAACCCTCCACTGTAAATCATGCCATTAGATACACGGTCTTTAGAGTCAGCACCCTAACAATCACTTCTCATTTTCTTTAAAGAAACGGAACACTTTATTAAAAGCTTCTGGAAATGGAGATAAACTTGTTTGTGGAAGTAAGGTTTATGCGGTTGCAGGCTACCCTTTCGACTGATCTAAACGAATGGATTTTTGTCAAAGACAGCGATCAAAGAGCAGTGTTAAGGCCAAACATTCTGAACCTTAGAAAATTAGTAAACGTTCGCCCTAATGACTCAGCAGGCGAATGCACTTTAGGGTCTATTATTTTTTAATACATCTTCGCCGTGTAATGTAATTAGCCCAGCCTACGTTTTACTCAAACCAAGGTTGTAGTTATTCATTTGTATAGAAATCAAAGGAAACGTGTGTCCTGTGAACAAGTACACGGCAACAAAGCATCAAGTATGACAGCGCCTTTACATTACAAGGACTCGTTAATGTACTAGAATATGCACCCGGCAATATTATAACATAACAATACATGACAATCCCTGGTAGTAGATTAATTGCTGAGAATTATTGAACAACACATTTCCACGTAACAATGAACAAAGATTAATTTCTGTATTGTCACACAGGGTGCAAACAGGTCCAAGACAACGTCATTGGGTTGGCATTTCTACAAGACGGCGACTTGCTAGTGAAATACCTAGATTCCTATGGTGATTACAGTGTATAGACTTTAGACCTTGCTAAAATATAGTAAATCGTCTTGACGAATTCGTTGGCGGAGCAACTAGACTACATCAATGCAACTGAAGATAGATATACCGAAACCCAACTACAGTGGGACACGCCTACTCTCTAAGTATCTGTTCTCTATATAATGACCAGCATCTATTACAGGCATGTTACAGGCATGTTACAGGTGTGTTAACGAGTGCCATTGTCACTTACAAAAACGCTGAAATATCAAACGTCGCTGGTCTGAGAGTCTTGATTAGCACCGTGATGCTGTGTGTAATGGGTCTACATTACTTTGAGGACACATAAGATTTAGTTGTGGATAGGTTGGTTACAGAGATCATATTGACCACACTGGATTCGAACCTTCGTCAGCTTCTAAGTATTTACACATTTCAGACTTAATTTAGAATAATCCTGTTTTTGCTCCACAGCATGTATGACAGGACGTGGTAATGTATACACTATAATTCCCAGCAGATGAGTTTGAAAAAGTCTGTACGAGTATTGATCTGCGGAGTCAGGCATAAGCCTTTACATGTTATGACCACTGTGTAAATGGCGGGTGGTACAGCATGACATGCCTGGCCTCGTGTTATCACCGACCGTCACTGATTCAATCATATAATTTTCACCATTTGCCTTTCACTAACACAGGAATCTGTGTCAACAGATAATCGAGTCTGATTAATCGCAGTTTGCTTGCCAACTAGGACAGGAATATCAGCTTTTATCATTTCAAACTACACCTAGGACAACATGCCAACATGAACATACACACACGGGCTGTAGACGAGGAATGCTTACCCGCAGATGGACACACACTGACAACATGAACACACTCAAAGAGGCTGAAGTCGATTGAATGCTTACCCGCAGACGGGCACACACTGACAACATGAACACACACAAACAGGCAGAAGACGAGGGAATGCTTACCCGCAGACGGACACACACTGACAACATGAACACACACAAACAGGCTGAAGACGAGGGAATGCTTACCCGCAGAGAGACACACACTGACAACATGAACATACACAAACAGGCTGAATACAAGGAATTGCTTACCCGCAGACGGACACATACTGACAACATGAACAAACACAAACAAGCAGAAGACGAGGGAATGCTTAATCGCAGAGGGACACACACTGACAACATGAACATATTACACAAACAGGTAGAAGACGAGGGAATGCTTACCCGCAGAGGGACACACACTGACAACATGAACACACACAAACAGGCTGAAGACGAGGGAATGCTTACCCGCAGAGAGACACACACTGACAACATGAACATACACAAACAGGCTGAATACAAGGAATTGCTTACCCGCAGACGGACACATACTGACAACATGAACAAACACAAACAAGCAGAAGACGAGGGAATGCTTAATCGCAGAGGGACACACACTGACAACATGAACATATTACACAAACAGGTAGAAGACGAGGGAATGCTTACCCGCAGACGGACACACACTGACAACATGAACATACACACACGGGCTGAAGACGAGGGAATGCTTACCCGCAGAGGGACACATACTGACAACATGAACAAACACAAACAAGCTGAAGACGAGGGAATGCTTAATCGCAGAGGGACACACACTGACAACATGAACACACACAAACAGGTAGAAGACGAGGGAATGCTTACCCGCAGAGAGACACACACTGACAACATGAACATATTACACAAACAGGCAGAAGTCGAGGGAATGCTTACCCGCAGACGGACACACACTGACAACATGAACATACACAAACAGGCAGAAGACAAGGGAATGCTTACCCGCAGAGAGACACACACTGACAACATGAACACACAAACAGGCAGAAGACGAGGGAATGCTTACCCGCAGACGGACACACACTGACAACATGAACACACACAAACAGGTAGAAGACGAGGGAATGCTTACCCGCAGAGAGACACACACTGACAACATGAACATATTACACAAACAGGCAGAAGTCGAGGGAATGCTTACCCGCAGAGAGACACACACTGACAACATGAACATACACAAACAGGCAGAAGACAAGGGAATGCTTATCCGCAGAGAGACACACACTGACAACATGAACACACAAACAGGCTGAAGACGAGGGAATGCTTACCCGCAGACGGACACACACTGACAACATGAACACACACAAACAGGCAGAAGACGAGGGAATGCTTACCCGCAGAGAGACACACACTGACAACATGAACATATTACACAAACAGGCAGAAGTCGAGGGAATGCTTACCCGCAGACGGACACACACTGACAACATGAACATACACAAACAGGCTGAAGACAAGGGAATGCTTACCCGCAGAGAGACACACACTGACAACATGAACACACACAAACTGGCAGAAGACGAGGGAATGCTTACCCGCAGAGAGACACACACTGACAACATGAACATATTACACAAACAGGCAGAAGTCGAGGGAATGCTTACCCGCAGACGGGGTGAGAACCCACAGGTATATGAAGGAGACAAACAGAGAGCACAAATCACTTGCTCGACGACTCATTCTGATTTTCCTCTTTCAATATGCAGATGACCTTGAGGAATGGGTCGTGCTTCCTTGAATTCCATCGATTCTTGTGGAGTGTAGTACCAGACTGAAACAAAGAAATACAAGGTAATCAACTGGTCACAAGTGCCCTCTATGTAAACAGCTGGAGTACCCTTTACGTTCACAGCCGGAGACCCCCGTGGATGACGGGCTATCCATACCAGAAGACTGTCAGCTGAGATTGCCCACGCTCCCCCCTCCCGTGTAACTAGTCGTGGGGTGAGTAGCATATCACACTTGTACAAACAGCCTTTAGAAGGGTCGTTGATAAGTTTGAAATGTTACAAGAAGGGGCAGGGTTAATACTTGTGTTTGATTGACTTCTTATCTCAACAGACCTTGATTATTGTCAAAATGACCGAGCGCTAGGCGGCAGCACGCGATTCTCGTCTGTGCGAACACTCCAGTCTTCGACCATAATGAATGGATGTGATAAGGCTGATTAAGAATTCACTTGCAAATGATAATGTCGTAGGTTGTTATAAATGATTCGAAACATATCTTAAAAGGGCTTTGCGTAAATCGTCAGCCCGTTGATTGCTCCTGCTGGAAGACCCAGAGATACTGATACAGACACCTTGACTCACTGAACCAGTTAGTCCGCTGAACTGACCGTAAACTTTGACATTTGTCCACTGTAAAACGGATTAAGCCAGAGTGGTCTGAGGCGACAAGGTAAGAGTGGCGAATTGCATCCCTTTATCGTAGCAGGATCTGCTGATCGCAGATTCGAATTCCCAATTAGTTCCAGTGATATCCCTGGTATATATTCGTGTTCGCATCACAGTAGCTCGGGGTGTATCTTCTACATCCAGCGTTCAAATCAAGCGGACAGGTTGTGACATTCTGGTAATCAATTCAGGACATTGTGGAGAACCTGGGTAAACTCAGACACAGCAATATTTCAATGATGTATGTTTTGTTTCATTGGATCTACATATAAAAGTCAAAATATAACTAGAATACATATCATGCCGTTTGTATCTGAAGAGCGGTTGTGTACTCCTTCCGGATGTGGGGGCCCAAAGTACCATACGTATATACATAGAACGTCCATAGTACCATACGTATATACATAGAACGTCCATAGTACCATACGTTTATACATAGAACGTCCCTCCCTGTTGCCGTCACTCCGTCCTCATCTGGAGGCCCAAAGTACCATACGTATATACATAGAACGTCCATAGTACCATACGTATATACATAGAACGTCCATAGTACCATACGTATATACATAGAACGTCCCCTCCCTGTTGCCGTCACTCCGTCCTCATCTGGAGGCCCAAAGTACCATACGTATATACATAGAACGTCCTCTCCCTGTTGCCGTCACTCCGTCCTCATCTGGAGGCCCATAGTACCATACGTATATACATAGAACGTCCATAGTACCATACGTATATACATAGAACGTCCCCTCCCTGTTGCCGTCACTCCGTCCTCATCTGGAGGCCCAAAGTACCATACGTATATACATAGAACGTCCCCTCCCTGTTGCCGTCACTCCGTCCTCATCTGGAGGCCCATAGTACCATACGTATATACATAGAACGTCCATAGTACCATACGTATATACATAGAACGTCCATAGTACCATACGTATATACATAGAACGTCCCTCCCTGTTGCCGTCACTCCGTCCTCATCTGGAGGCCCAAAGTACCATACGTATATACATAGAACGTCCCCTCCCTGTTGCCGTCACTCTGTCCTCATCTGGAGGCCCATAGTACCATACGTATATGCATAGAACGTCTCCCTCCCTGTTGCCGTCACTCCGTCCTCATCTGGAGGCCCATAGTACCATACGTATATACATAGAACGTCCATAGTACCATACGTATATACATAGAACGTCCATACGTATATACATAGAACGTCCCTCCCTGTTGCCGTCACTCCGTCCTCATCTGGAGGCCCAAAGTACCATACGCGTCCAGTATAGTACCACGTATATACATAGAACGTCCCTCCCTGTTGCCGTCACTCCGTCCTCATCTGGAGGCCCAGGTACCATACGTATATACATAGAACGTCCATAGTACCATACGTATATACATAGAACGTCCATAGTACCATACGTATATACATAGAACGTCCCCTCCCTGTTGCCGTCACTCCGTCCTCATCTGGAGGCCCAAAGTACCATACGTATATGCATAGAACGTCTCCTCCCTGTTGCCGTCACTCTGTCCTCATCTGGAGGCCCATAGTACCATACGTATATACATAGAACGTCCCCTCCCTGTTGCCGTCACTCCGTCCTCATCTGGAGGCCCATAGTACCATACGTATATGCATAGAACGTCCCCTCCCTGTTGCCGTCACTCCGTCCTCATCTGGAGGCCCAAAGTACCATACGTATATACATAGAACGTCCCCTCCCTGTTGCCGTCACTCCGTCCTCATCTGGAAGCCCAAAGTACCATACGTATATACATAGAACGTCCGAAGTACCATACGTATATACATAGAACGTCCGAAGTACCATACGTATATACATAGAACGTCCTCCTGAAGTACCATACGTATATACATAGAACGTCCGAAGTACCATACGTATATACATAGAACGTCCCTCCCTGTTGCCGTCACTCCGTCCTCATCTGGAAGCCCAAAGTGCCATACGTATATACATAGAACGTCCGAAGTACCATACGTATATACATAGAACGTCCCTCCCTGTTGCCGTCACTCCGTCCTCATCTGGAGGCCCAAAGTACCATACGTATATACATAGAACGTCCGAAGTACCATACGTATATACATAGAACGTCCATAGTACCATACGTATATACATAGAACGTCCATAGTACCATACGTATATACATAGAACGTCCCTCCCTGTTGCCGTCACTCCGTCCTCATCTGGAGGCCCATAGTACCATACGTATATACATAGAACGTCCCTCCTGTTGCCGTCACTCCGTCCTCATCTGAGGCCCATGGTACCATACGTATATGCATAGAACGTCCCTCCCTGTTGCCGTCACTCCGTCCTCATCTGGAGGCCCATAGTACCATACGTATATGCATAGAACGTCTCCTCCCTGTTGCCGTCACTCTGTCCTCATCTGGAGGCCCATAGTACCATACGTATATACATAGAACGTCCCCTCCCTGTTGCCGTCACTCCGTCCTCATCTGGGGCCCATAGTACCATACGTATATGCATAGAACGTCCCCTCCCTGTTGCCGTCACTCCGTCCTCATCTGGAGGCCCATAGTACCATACGTATATACATAGAACGTCCCCTCCCTGTTGCCGTCACTCCGTCCTCATCTGGAGGCCCATAGTACCATACGTATATGCATAGAACGTCCCCTCCCTGTTGCCGTCACTCCGTCCTCATCTGGAGGCCCAAAGTACCATACGTATATACATAGAACGTCCGAAGTACCATACGTATATACATAGAACGTCCGAAGTACCATACGTATATACATAGAACGTCCCCTCCCTGTTGCCGTCACTCCGTCCTCATCTGGAGGCCCAAAGTACCATACGTATATACATAGAACGTCCGAAGTACCATACGTATATACATAGAACGTCCGAAGTACCATACGTATATACATAGAACGTCCGAAGTACCATACGTATATACATAGAACGTCCCCTCCCTGTTGCCGTCACTCCGTCCTCATCTGGAAGCCCAAAGTACCATACGTATATACATAGAACGTCCGAAGTACCATACGTATATACATAGAACGTCCCCTCCCTGTTGCCGTCACTCCGTCCTCATCTGGAGGCCCAAAGTACCATACGTATATACATAGAACGTCCGAAGTACCATACGTATATACATAGAACGTCCGAAGTACCATACGTATATACATAGAACGTCCCCTCCCTGTTGCCGTCACTCCGTCCTCATCTGGAGGCCCAAAGTACCATACGTATATACATAGAACGTCCGAAGTACCATACGTATATACATAGAACGTCCCCTCCCTGTTGCCGTCACTCCGTCCTCATCTGGAGGCCCAAAGTACCATACGTATATACATAGAACGTCCGAAGTACCATACGTATATACATAGAACGTCCGCTCCCTGTCGCCGTCACTCCGTCCTCATGCAGACTACAGCTGTGGTACAGTAACACCACGGGACGACAAGCACTATTTGTCGTTTCGTTAGAACGCAAATGTTTTTGGTTTGGTTTGTTTGCTTGTTGTTTAACGCCGCATTCAGCAATTCCCCAGCTTGATCCCGGCGGTCTATAACCAGTTGAGGCATCCCTGACAACCCTGTGACTGACATCATTCAGCAGTTCCCCAGCTTTATCCCGACGGTCTATAACCAGTTGAGGCATCCCTGACAACCCTGTGACTGACATCATTCAGCAATTCCCCAGCTTTATCCCGACGGTCTATAACCAGTTGAGGCATCCCTGACAACCCTGTGACTGACATCATTCAGCAATTCCCCAGCTTTATCCCGACGGTCTATAACTAGTTGAGGCATCCCTGACAACCCTGTGACTGACATCATTCAGCAATTCCCCAGCTTTACCCCGGCGGTCTATAACCAGTTGAGGCATCCCTGACAACCCTGTGACTGACATCATTCAGCAATTCCCCAGCTTTATCCCGACGGTCTATAACCAGTTGAGGCATCCCTGACAACCCTGTGACTGACATCATTCAGCAATTCCCCAGCTTTATCCCGGCGGTCTATACCCAGTTGAGGCATCCCTGACAACCCTGTGACTGACATCATTCAGCAATTCCCCAGCTTTATCGGCGACGGTCTATAACTAGTTGAGGCATCAGCCTGACACCCTGTGACTGACATCATTCAGCAATTCAACAGCTTTATCCCGGCGGTCTATAACTAGTTGAGGCATCCCTGACAACCCTGTGACTGACATCATTCAGCAATTCCCCAGCTTTACCCCGACGGTCTATAACCAGTTGAGGCATCCCTGACAACCCTGTGACTGACATCATTCAGCAATTCCCCAGCTTTACCCCGACGGTCTATAACCAGTTGAGGCATCCCTGACAACCCTGTGACTGACATCATTCAGCAATT